TTTTACTCTAAATGAAGTATGCTTCTTTTTATATCACTTTTTCGTCCATTTCTGTCTTTTTCTTTTTTTTTCATCCTTTTTCTTTCTTTTCAGTTTTTTCCTATTCTTTCTATTACTTCTTTCTCTGTCATAAAAATCATTAATATAAGTGAAAATAAAATAATATACAAATATATTATAATACAAATTACAATATTTAACTCCATATAATGTTGTGCTTCCTTTTACATCACTTTTCATTCCTTTTCCTCTCTTTTCAGCATATCTCTGTGGAGGATATATCAAACTACTTTACGATTATGATTGTCTGTTCTATTTCGGACATCATGATGAGTCCATCATGATTGGTTGAAATAGAATCAGACAATTCTTAATCGTAACCGTGATCTGATGTGAGCATAAAGTTCTTTTTTTTCATGAAAGTTACTAACGACTGAAAATATGATACAATACAAGTAATATGGTACAATACAAATATGATATGATTACTGATATTTTGATGAATATAATATTTTCCTCTCACACTTTTTTTTTCTTTTTACTTTTTTTTCCTCTTATATTTTTTTCCATAAGTCCTTGCTTTTCTATGAAAGAAAGGAATCTATAATTATTATAAGCTATAATTATTTTGAAAATAAAGTACAAAAACACACAGATTAATAAATACTAATATTGCTCTATACAATATTATGTTTCTTGTCACACTGTGACCCTTTCCTTCTTTTACCTTTTTTTTCATATTTTTCAATCCATTCCTTTCTATGAATTCCTTTCTTTTTTCTTGAAAACTATTATATAATCGAGAATACATCACAAACTACTACGTTTTCATGGTCCTTATTCGAGTTTGATAACATCGTAATTATGAAACTGATCAATCACAGTTCTTCCATTCTTCAGAGAAATAACTATTGGGTATGGTCAACGCGATGCTGCAAACGCTTTGAAGCGTTTTTTAACTGATCAGTTTGTAAAATTCTTTCTTCTAATTGGTCAAAGCATTTGTAGCGAGACTTTGACCACAGTCATATAATTGGTTATTTTTACAACTACAGACGTTATTAAATCTAGAGACCCTCTAATTAGAGTCTGCCATTTTTTTTCCGATTTGTGAATGATCCAATATATTTCATCCATTTAAATGCATAATAAAAACATTATCCCAGACAGCATAGGACATCCACTGAACATCCAGATTTGGTTTCAATCTGGTCCAAACGTCCATGGACTTATTGTTAGTAACGAATGTTTTAAAAACATACATTATTTAATGTATAAAGTATGTTTACATTTGGACATTTTAAAAATGTCTCATGCAAATAATTTTAATAAATCTGTTTGCGATGTGTTGCTTTCGCAGACTTGACAAATGAAAATTTTTTTAAGATCAAACGAGGAGTTTTACTTTTTTCCTTCGGTAACGAAAATTTACCAAATTAAAGCTTAGTTCAGACAGCACGCAGCAAACGGCAAGCGTCGTCGAAGCAAAGCTTGCTGTTCACAGTGATAAGAGTTTGAAATCTTTTGCTTCCAACGTGCAGTCAGAGACCAGTGGAGAGTAGAGTCCTTAGATAACTAGAGTCAAGCCATGCCCTAAAAATGACGTGCGTGTTCAAAATGTGTGTTTGCTCTCAATTAGTGATATAAATGTATGTGCGTTTTCAATTAGTACTATCATTGTATGGGCACGCCAATTACAAGAGAGGATGGAGGAAAGGTCTAGGAAACCAGAATAGAATACTCTAGTATTCTAGGGACTTTAGTGGAGGAAACATCTTTTGAACGTTCCATGGATGTCACTAGGACATCTATGCTGTGTTGAAAATTTTTAATGACAAAAAAATTCATGTAAAATTTTTTGTTGTTGAAAATTTTCTTATAAGAATTATTTTATCTTTATTATAGTCTAAAATTTGTTTAATATATTAATTTAGTCCAGTTTTAGCCTATTGGACATTTTTAAGAAGTCCAAAATGATAACACTGGATGTTTTTAAAACGTTTTTAAAATATCCATGGATTTAATCTGGATGTTTTTAATATGACCAAAACGTCCAACATGTACATTTTAAATATATTTTTAAAATATTATTGTGCTGTCTGGGATGCTTTTACTTAACGCTTGATGCACGACTATGGACTTGCTGTCATAATATTTATGATTAAATACTACTAAATTTTTATGTTGTTTAAATTTTAATCATAGTCACCAGCTATAAGTCATTTGAACGTGTCAGAATGTTCGTTCATCAGAAACTATGAAACTTATAGGACATCTTTATAGAGAGCCACAACTAATAGCACCACTATAAAGTGAGATCAAGTGAGATAGCATGATTTTTCTCTCGCACAATCTCGATGAAAAGTGGCTACCACTTCAGGTGGTCAAACTCCGATTAGAGGGTCTCTAATTAGACCCGATTAAGAATGCCATCTACACGCAGTCAGAAATACTAACATTAATACTCTTCCATACATCTATGTTTCTTGTACATATATCTCTTTTCTTTTTCCTTCCTTTCTTTTTATTTTCTTTTTTTTCCATTTCCTTTCTCTTCAGTTTTTTCTTTTTTATGTCGTTTACTTTTTATGAAAATCACCAACTGAGAATAAAATACAACACAAAGATATTAATGTGAATACTAATATTCCGTATTATGTTCATATCATACCACTTTATTTCCTTGTCTTCTTTATTATTTTTCCTTTTTCTTTTTCTTTCTTTTCCTTTTCTTTTTCTTTCTTTTCTTTTTCTTTTTCTTTTCTTTTTCTTTTTCTTTCTTTTTAATTCTTTCTATTCAATGAGGCCTTCTTTTCATGAATTACTAATAATTAAAAATATAATACAACATAAAAATACTAATATGAGCACTAATATTTTGCTGAATATAATGTGCTTCTTTTCATACATTTTTTTCTTTTTTTATATGCTTTTTCATTTTTTTTTCTTTTTTTTTCGATTTCTTTTTTATTCTTTTAAGTGTTCTTCTTTCTATAAATTTTTTCCTTTTCAAAATAAGTTAATAATAATTTCAGCTAATAATAATTCAATAAAATAATACAAAGGTACTGAGATAAATATTAACATTTTGATATATAATACTTCCTTCTACAGCTCCTTTATTTTGGTATATAATACTTCTTTCTACAGTTCCTTTTCTTTTTTGCTCTTCTTTTTTCATTTTCTTTCTTTTCCTTTCTTTTCCTTTTTTTATGAGTTTTTTTTTCGTTTTCTTTTCCTACAATATTTCAAACCTTTCATTTCTATGAGTTTTTTACTCTTCATAAAAATCATTAATAACTGACAACAAAATACACGCAAATATAATTTAAATACTAATATTTTGTTCCACAAAACGTTATGCTTTCTATTAGAGTTCTTTTCCTTTATTTTATTTTTTTTCTTATCCTTTCTCCTTTTTCTTTTTATTATTTCTTTCCTTTCCTTTCTCATTTTACATATATATTTTATAATAATATAATACGAGCTAAACGTTAATAATTACCAGATAAATAAATAAATACAAATAATTTAATAATAAAATAATATTAATAATAAAATAAATAGCAACTCGCAAAGTAAATGCAACGAGAGAACCAAGATTACTCTAAATAAAATTACTTGTTTTAGTATAAGTTGCGTTTTAAACGACATTGTCACGACACGTAACTTTCAGGATATTCTAGTAAAGGTATACAGATTGGAATATTTTTTTTGGAAACATACTTTGAAGAAAGAAGATTATATTATTTTTTAAATACTTGCCTTTTCTTTTCAGGCTTTTGCTTTCAATAAATCTGAAAATAAAATACAACACAAAGAATCAATTCTTTTATAATTATAAAGAATAGAGAGAATAAATTAATAGATTATAAAACTTATCTGATACGATATTTTGTGAAGAGAAATCTTTAACAGTTTAAAAGGAGGTATCTTTTATATTATTATATATTAATCTCAACACACACACACAGGCACGCACGCACGCACGCACGCGCGCGCGCACAACCTCAATTGTCAATCACATTTATCAAAGTCAAAGCATATTATTGAATAATGCTCGACGATGATAGCCGCTCACGAAGTAAGCAGTTGTCATTATGAGAAAACCAATCAGCATCGTGGAAAAGCAGCAACAATAAACTTCGAGAAATGCGAATAATTGTCTTAACATCTCCTTTTTTAGAAAAAATTTAAATTAAAGTTTGAGATTTTCATTTAAAAAATCAAGTTGACTTTATAATGATCCTTGGGCTGAATTTGATTCCATAATGGTTTTTTTAAACGTAGAATTTTCTGTTCTTTTTATTTTCTGGAATCAAAAATAAGAATTTCCATTTAAAATGACAGTTATAACAATTGCTTAGTAGGTGATTAATATTAACGTCGTCAAACGGAGCGCTTCCAGTGATGATTTGCTAACCTTCAGACCGCATAACTTGTAAAGTACTCGAAGAAAATATATTTTATTATAGAGTTTTGAAAAGTCTTGACATCAGTTATATGAACATGAAATAAAGAATCGAGATTTCCGTTTAAAAAATTTTAGATATTCTTGACCTGATTTTAAGAACGTCTCCTTTAGGTCAACCAAAGTCATCACTTTCTATCTCTCTAATGAGCAACTTTTGTATAAAACATTTTTCCGTATCTTTTATATTTTTTGAGATATTTTAATATAAAGTGACTTACCCTGTCATGTAAAATGACTCACCCTGTATATACAGGGTAAAAATGTCACTTTTATAATGTATGACATATCAATTTCTTCCAATAATACGGAATATTAAATGTTAAATTTATAAATTTGTGTAAATAGAGGAAAGTCTGAAGAATGTAAATATTTTTCCATAAATTAATTCAATAACGATAAAAAGTTATTGAAGAATAAAGGCTTAAGTATAGCGTTTTCCCTCAATCACTTTAATTTATAAAAATTATATATTAATTTTCCATCAAGTTTTATTTAAAAAATTATTAATATTAAAAATGAAACGCACGCCTAGAGCTTCTTCCAGATGTTTTAAGTCATCAGCTGCCAGATTAGATAAATCAATATTCTCCGATATATTGATATTCGTTCCTCGAGATTTTAGCCTTATGTCTACTTTATCCAGTTCTAACAACCAAATTGCAGGTACTACACTACTAAGATATAAAAATACAGATGGGCAGAACCTGGAAATATAACAATTGTAATAAATAATAAATTCTTACACATTACATCTGTCAAGTTACATTAAAGTTATCATTAAAAGTAGATCATAAAAAACATTTTTGTATTATTATTCTATTTTATCATTGTGAAAAAATACTATTGGATTATGAAAAATTATTTGAACAAACAGTATACAACATTCTATTAAAATTATTTCAAATTATGTTTTTTGATACTATGATTTTTGACTTCCTGATCATATGTTTTCTGATACTATGATTTTCTTATAATGTGACTTCTAACTATTTTATTCGCAAATCGAATAATTTTTTCTAGTTATCAGCATTTTATGTCGTGTTTTTGACTTTTAAAAAAATTAATATTTCTAATTGTTTATTTCCTTAATATTGTAGTTTCATATAAGTGCAACTCATATTCTCTCCTTAATACTGCTTTTTAAATTGAAATTTTTTTAAGATAAATGTACACTAGCGCTCAAAAGGTTTTTGACAAATGATCTTCACAGGTAAAGTTGGTAGTATTGACCCGCTTAGTTTAATTGTTAGTTAATTGTATCACTGTCGATAGTATTAAAGCTCCTGAATAGTTGCGGCGGCCATACTGGAATTGTGAGAAATACATGTTAATTTATACTGCATGCCATTTGTAAATAAAGACAAATCTAAATGACAAGATCACTTTAAAACGCTTATAAAAATGGGCAGAAATTGTTCTTTTCTTCCTTAATAGTCAGTAAATGATCGTAAAAGGTAAATAAAGTGAGCCTAAATTCGGGTAGAAACATATAGTGTTACATAGCTGTTGAAACGAATAAAATATATATATTTACGTATAAAATTCCAAGATAAGTGTAGTTTCTGTCCATTTTTAGAACTTTCATAAGTATGAGGCAAGTCTCATTTTCACAATTAAACAAGTAATAATAAAATGGCAACACAAATTTCGTCGTCAAAACGTCATTTTTCCATACTTATAAGTTCAGTCATTTATCGTGGCGAAGCGCTGCAACACACACATAAGCACGAGCTCTTGTACATATGCTCGCTTTCGGCACGCTAAGAGCACATATACATGGGTTCGTGCTTGCGTGTGTGGGACTATCGATTTCGCCACATTTTGCCAGGCCGCCATCTGATTCTGTGTCATTGAGTATTCAGAAACTTAAAGGCTATTGATCATGGACAAATATTTATCTTTACCAAAAGGATTCCAAAGAATCCTCTAAGGTAGAAGAATTCTAAGGTAATTGAAGAACGTTGACAATATAAAAAAATTGACACAAATTTACGACTATTAACAAAAATGTTTAGATATATTATTAAATTCATAATTTTGTTTATATAAATGCACCAAAATAAAAGTATACACCTAAATAAGTATGCATATGAGGTTTATTCTAAATGTATAAGACATCTGCGTATAGTATATCTTTGTCACAGTATATCGTAGCAATTCTGTTCATTAATGTGAAGCATATAGCGCCGCGTGCATGCTAAGTAGAGACAATATATGATAACGCCATTTAAGGGGATGCTGGAGCGAAGGCTGAAGTTAATCAAGGTCGATATTACAGGTTTTTATTTCCAATGTATAAGATGCTTACGCCCTCTGAGTTAATATGATTATGCAGGAAATTCGATCGATTAATTATCGATATTTTTATTCCGTTTCCTTTATTACATTATCATCTTAGCAGGGACGTGTATAAGGGTCAGTTCCACAAATGTAAAATTTATTTTGGAAAATTTTCCAATTTTAGAATTGAGAAAAAAATAAACCGTAATTGAAGTTAATCTTATATTTGTAGAATCGGACCTTAGAAATACAGTTGTATTATATACACATACAGTGTAAGCCGTGTTCCAATATATATACCACCAGTATTAAAAATCTGTAATATACATAAAGTACAGATTTTTAACTTTAATAGTTATATCGATACGAAGCCGTAGTAGCACTTTTTCCTTACATCCAATGCCATTTTAGGTAATAATATAATATCAATAAATGAATACGACATTGCACATACATAATGAAATGTTAATAATCCCCCCAAAATATATATATATACATAATGAGAATATCTATACACATAAAATAAGAATTTATCAGAGACTTCGTAATTTGATTATCTTTTTAAGATGTTACGTCTGATCATCTGCGTTTGATTCTCGTTACCTTCAATTTATGTTAGTTGTATGTACATTCTGATATTGAAAATATAAAAGCATATATCCTTAATATCTGTATATTTGACCATAAAAAAACATATCTCTTTTTATTTTTTCAACGTAGAAAAAAGAAGATCAGTACAC